AGAAGGTTATTCAGCATTGCCTAATGTCAGGCAATGAAGAAACAATTACAGCTCAGATGGCAGCCACAAGGGGTTTTCTAAGTTCCTGTCTGTGGAAACGACAGGAAGTCAGTCTGAAGATAAAATGCTGATTCTACCTATTCCACCTATACGTTTTATCTTGCTATAAGTGAGACGTGAGGTATCCGGAATCCTTCGTCTGCTGTGTTTCCAAACCATCTCACGGACCTGATTTATTGACAACGCCATATTTCGTGCACTTTGCAATATCATCCAGCTTTCTACCGTCCTTAAAGGACGACGACTCTGTTGGCTAGGGCCCGCTTTGAGACATCCATCACAGGGTATTACTTCCACAACGTTGACCGCGATCTGATGACTGGACGACTACTGAAAATAGACGGAAGAGTAAGGATCTGTCACAACTGGCATAAACTTCCTCTCTAGGCCTGCAGTGTATGGATACAAACTGTGGAAGAAGACCTGGCTAAACTTGGAGGAGGACATTGCACTTGATCGATAGAGCTAAAAGCAGCGGTCCGGGATGTTATTTTAGCCGATTAGGAATGAAATGGGAAGTTTGTAGCCGTTTAAACGTCAGTCTTCCTTACAGATTTGTAATGAGGCCAATTTTGGTGCCCTTCTTTTCGTGATGTTAATGGTGGGGATGAATATCTACTTTCCACACCATTATCTAGCAGTGTCTTTTTAAGGCAGAGTCGACAACAACTGTGTGGCAAGCGTAAGCGTGGTCCCCTGCTTTCTTTTCGCACAGAATTGTATTTTTCAATATTTATCAATTTCAGAAGAAACAGAGGCAAGTGACCAACAGCCGTGCTAGAACCCGGAACCTCTCACTTCTGAGTCAACAGCTCTACCCACTGAGAAACCCTTGTCTAAACCAATGGTAGTGACAGCCGTGATGAAAACAACGGAATTACTGGCAGATTTTAATGGTAGCATGCGAAATTACTTCCTAATAACCTTGTAGAAAAAATTGCCGTTGTTATTCAAAGTACGTATTTTTTATTTAGCTATAGCGTGAATTTAGTTTTCTTCGCGTTCGTTTGTTTCTTTCTTTCGCAGTGTGTTGCTTTGGACAGCAACTAACGTAAAGGATATACGCGATGACTAAATACGTGGAGTGTACTCTCCACAATCGCGAGCACTTACCGTGAACTCTGCATTGGCGTGCCAATGAAGTAATGCTAATCATAAGTTAACGGGCTTTTTTATTCTTTTAAAGCGAAAATGAAAGTTGCCTGGAGCGACGATTTGAACTCGGTTTCAAGGCAAAAAGTTCTCGAGAATAAAGTCAGTTTTTGTCCATTACCTCTGTCTGGCACTCGTTGCTCAGTCGATACTGCATCTGCAACATGTTGCGCGTTTTATCTAGCTCCTGCGAAGTTTCCACAAACGTTGACTGCAATTCTGTCAGCTCAGCTCTCATATCTGCGTCAAAAACGTGGAAAAGAGATGCAAAGACGGCATGATCTGTACTTTCAATTTCCATTTCATGTTTAGCAGCAGGTTCGTTTTCTATCCCATCTTTATGCACGATGTTCATCGCGTTTCGTAGATTCTAAATGGAATAATTATGAAACAATATTACAATGAAGTTTCAAAGTCTTAACATATAATCTGCTGCACATGTCCAGTCTGACATTCCTTATGCGGCTTCAAGATAGTGGATCGGCGTTCAACAAAAATGTCGCATATCAAACGTTACATTAAAAATTATTTGCAAATTAAAACAAATAAACAAATTATTTGCACATTTAAAATATTTAGCAATTTAGTCTTGGGACAAAATGGATGGGGATACACCAACAAGTTAACCGTTCGTAATGGTCCTCACTTGTGCGTATGCTCGTGATTTCCAGTAGATCGGTAATTTGCGCGCTGCTGACAGACCTGAAGATCTCCAATGCCTTGCTGCATGCACGACTGTTATACATCCGTGTCGAGCAACATCCCTTGGCTGATTCAACACATCGAGACCTTGTAAGATTCCTGTAGTACATGCTAATGCTGCACCCGGAACGGAACGCATAGGCGCGGGCCGTTTCGGAGCCGATCGATAGTCGATATCAACATGCAGTCCTGTGGCGGCGTTTGATTCTGTATGTCTGGGCTATGGTCATCTCGATCAACTGTAACATCCAACCCGTCATGGTACGTATCCATCAGAAACTATCTATGAACACGAGGTGAAACTTCTGTCAAACTAACGGATTTCTAAAATTTAGCGTTTAATTTAATGACTCCAGAATGTCTTGGATGATATCCAGTATCCAACAGAGTTGAAGAAAATCGAATTCCAGACGAAGGGATAATATCCATCGTTAATGACTATCATAATAACATATTATTACTTACACTCGTGACTTAGCACATAACTACGCAATGGTGCAATGATGTTATATATTTCATATAAAATTTGGCAATATAAATAAATTTGCTTTTTTCATCAGCTCGCTGTTCTTCCATGAAAAGTTGACTTTAAACTAAATTATATTCATAAATTTAAATTTTGTGAAATAATTGGGCAATATGTCAACAAATTTGACAGATGTTTTAGCACTGCGCCAAATGTATTAATATCTGATAATGAACATCTGCTGATCAACGAAATCTTAGAATATTAGAAATTCATTAGTTCGACAGAAATTTCACATTGTGCTTACGGAGAATTCTTCATGGATATGTAACATGGCGGGTTAGAAGTTACAGTTGGTCGAGTGACCACAGTCCAATCTTATAGATTCCAATCTTACAGATTCAAACGCTCGCCACAGGACTGCACGCTGATAACGACTATCGATCGGCGCAGAAACGGCGGTGCCAAATCATCATAGACCGCTGCGGCAATCATTCTTCTTTGTAAAAGTCGGACATCCATGTATGTCTTCATCTCCTAATTAGCTAAACAAATTCTCCTCATAATCACGGAGTTCCATCGCTGATGTGCAGTTCCTTTTGTCTGCTTGCAAGACGGCGCCTTTTCCTTTTCGTTCTTCGTTCTCACAAAAGTCTGTGCTTTAAATAGCAGATATTATATTTTCACCCTGGGCGGTGGCCAGGCTCTTTCTAAGATGTTTACTAAGCCCCGAGCGATCTCATCTCGTTTCACAAATAGTTTGTTTCCTTACTTCCATAACTAACTCCACACCTGCAATGATCCCTTGCGTCGGTATCTGCTTGAATTGGGGGAGGATAAAACGAACTTTGGCCTGAGTGTCAGATAGTTTTTCTCCTCCTTCGTTAAGAGAAGCCGCTGAGATGGAGGACACACTTTTCAGTGTACTGAGTTGTGTGTATCAATAACTGCTGATTGGATACCTGTGAATCCTGTTGAAACGAGTTACTCCATTCGACTATTCTCTCTTCTTTAGTTGCATTGCCTTTCTGTAACACGGAGTAGGATTATGAAGTTAGTTTGGTCAAGTGCTTGTTGCATAAATCACAGCAATAGTGCTTGTTTGCTCTTAGCTTCTTCTTGGTACAAATGCCATATGTTCTTTGAAAGTGATCGTCGAGTCAGGATTCTTCCGTTGATGGGTTCCATGGTGCGGCTCTCTGTAGTGACCAATTCCCCGTCTTTAAGGAAGATCTTAGGGTTCTTAGCTGTACGTTTCTTGCATATGACCATCCGATGGCCGTTCTGAGAGCGGATACGGCCATATAGTCCATGTGATCCGTTTGTTTGCCTTCCTCCGGACGGCTGGAATGCTGGTTTCCTTGCACCAGTGTGCAGACGAATGGTAGAGAATATTAGAAGGCATTATATAAATGCTGGTACTGAAAATTGTAGCGAGGGTCAAGGAACTATTTACTACAAAATTATCAATTATGTGTCATGTCCCTCCTGTCATCATTCCAGCCGATGGACAAATTTTGAAAGGCTGGGTACTGCAAGAATAGTTTCAGCCGTAAACAAAGGATTCTCTAGAACATGACTGGGCTACGGGAGCAGAAAATTCCGGTGCTTGTGAGCAGACAAGAAGAGCTCTCCTGTGTTCTCATTTACATCATGCGTCGGAACCTCGATACTTCAATCAGTACCTTTCGTGTTATTAAGAATGAGAACCTTTTGTACCGGTACAGTTTCTGCCGTCTACAACGTCTGACCGTTTTCCCACGACAGAATTATTCTATACGTCGCGTGAAAAGTGAACTGGTTGCATATGATCAAGATTGTGTTGCTGTATAGAGTGTATCACACCACAGTAATCATGTCAGGTACATTTCGAACACATCAGTAGACTGACATCTTTACCCAGTTGGATATTCATAGCTTGTGGTATACCAGATCAAAATATAGCTGAAAGGAGATTGCTAAATTCGGACCCGTCTTGCTGTATCATATCAGGTACAGCTCGTACTTTAAATAATTTTCTTATTGTGTTTAACGCGATTTCAAGTTAAATTTGTGGTAATTCATAAATTTTACAACTGAGTACCAAGTCAACTGCTTATTAAAAAGTTAAGTTAAGAATTTATCTAAATCTTAGCCTCATACCAAATCATGCTTCGTTTTTTTTTCAAGCTTTAAAAAATCGTTTTCCAGACTTTGGAGGTCCTTACGAAGCTGCGAATTTTCTTGCTGCAATTTCTTCTTTGAAGCTGAAAGTGCGGAAAGTTCAGGTTTTCGTTTTAGCGAGTTGTAAATTACTTTTAATGATGTTATGCATTTACTACTGAAGTCCTTCATTCGTGCACTCATTTTTTCTGCAATAAAAACGCTGGCCACAATGACATATTTAAAACATATATTAAATGCAGTCCTATGTAGAAAAAAGTTTTGAAATTTGGCCACGGTTATGACGGAACCAGAAATCAAAAATTGACGTAATAATTAGCAGTACTACCTAGAAGAATGGAGTGACACATCTGAAAATATTCTCAAGCAAAATGATTCTAGTCTTAGATCAGATTGTTTGAACAGCATGAGAAGATCTGCTGAATTGTTCCTTACCAGATTGCGATTTCTGTAGCTGCTTGAAAAGATTCACTTCAAAATATAGTCAAGCAGCTTCTATGACCGTTTATCCTGTCAGATTGCATAGACAGACACATCATACATTGTCTACAACGTTCCTGATCTCGTTCCTACCTTGTAGCTATACCAGAAAATAACCCCATTATGGAACAAAGTGTCCAGAGGCATTTTCTCCGGTCATTTTTCTCCCAGAGAGATTCGGCCTATCGGTTAGCAGTTTCTAGTTCCATTCTAGAAGCATTTGCAATGCGTGCAAATACCATCGTTGATGTGACTTCTCAATTTGGAGAAGCAGCGGCTATACACCAAGGCTCTTTCAGATATCTGCATTCCGGATTGCGTCGAGACGCTTGAGCTCAATGGTTCATTTCGGAAAGCCGTCCTCCGCCAGCCTCAGTGTGATTCTAATATTAGCATGCTTGTTCAGTTACACCTCAATTGCTTATCAAAAACGACTCAAAGCGTAGGTGATACACTTAATAAATTTATGTGCAACATCATTGGGAAGAACTATGAAGAACAGTGAATCATTACTCAAATTAGTCAAATAATTATTCCAAACGTCATAAGTTAACCAACGCTGTTTTCACGTCACTTGCATTTCGAACTGTTACCTGATTCTTCTAACAACCGTTGAGCTCGTTCTTGGTTTAGCGTTGCAAGGGATTTCATAGCTGGTTTAAGCTGCTCCTTTTGGGATTTGAGCCTATTTTTTTCTAGGCCTCGCTGTTTCGGAATGCCGATGGCAATAAATCTACAGAAATAAATAAAGTTAGACTATAATAAAGCAGTTTTACATATAAACAGCACTTGTTGATCAGCTTCTCGTTGCTTTCTTTCAACGTTTGATTTTCTCTTTTCAGCATATCTGTTTCACTCACAAACCGTAGCGTCGCGGCGTCCAGCGATTTTTGGAAAGACTCTATTTCTGACCTCAGTCGTTCGTTGACTGTTTGCTCAGAATAAAGCTTGACCTTAAGACTTTCTAACTCGATTCTTGGATCGTGAGATGGGCTCTCGTTATCAGCTTCCTGTCATTCAAAGCAAACTATGGATAAGAGGCATATTATCATCACAACATCACTGTTATTGATTTTCATATTAATTGGGTACTTTTGAAAGTTCCGATTTGGAGTGTGCAGTCCAAATCATGAGACGTTCAAAGCACCTCGAAATGAATAAATGTTTTGGTGGAGTTCAGTTAACACCTTAAACTTTGAAGAACTTATGAAACTTACGCATGTTAGAAATTTATACAGCAAGTGCCTGACCAGTTTACATTTTGCAGAGTTGAAGACATGACCATTGAATTATACATTAGACTAATTTGTCACCATTATAACCCTCCTAACTCTCCCCTAACATTTTAAGGATCATACAATAGCGGTGTCTTTGCTGCAGCTTGGAACATTAAATTTGCTAACCGAAGAATGGCAGGCTATCTAAAATTTGACATTGTTCAGGAAATAGCTACTTAATGGACAACGCAAAATTTACACTTTCAAAGCAACAGATGACAAAATGACGCAGCAAATCTGCGCAAAGAAAAAATAAATTGTTTCTCTTTCTCAATTTCTTAAAACACTGAATGCAAATCCATTATTCCTTCAGAAGTTCAGTATTATTTGATTATGCGGCAGAGTATTTTCACTGCATATCACTTTTATGTCTATCGAACTTGATACAGATCTTTTATGACAAGTCACCGCCAGTTTTTGTTTAAATCACTTTATTGTACACACTAACCTTATTTTTACTAGTATACAAATTATCTATATGAGATTATTAATGTTAACAAATACCTTTGCTGTTTGCTTATTATTAGTCATTCTCGCCTGATCATTTTTACTTGGAGAATCATCTGCCGTGTCGAAAACAGCAGGACTCAAAGCAGACCGCTCTTCTGAATCATTTCTAAAAAAATTGCATAGAGTCAGATATAACTGCTGAAAATTGTTTAGCTGAATGATGACATTGACTGTAAGAAAGTACACGGTGTAATAATAAAACGTGATTTGTAGCCAGATCAAAAAATGGCATCGCAAAAACTCTCTTTCGCTTAAAATTGCAACAGGTTTTGTAAAATGCATCAAAGCAGGCAGACCATACCTGATTCCTTGTGACGGTTGCGAAACGTTTTCATAAACTTATTGAAATGCGGTTTAATGTGCATATCGTAAAACGCAGCCGTACCAATATGCCACGTCTAAATCCAAGTCCATCTGGTTGCATACATGTGATCATGAAATTTTACGCTTAAAATCCTTAATAATTTAACTGCGAATTCACGAACACGCCGTTCAGTTCTAAAATATCTACTCTCCTTACGCAATCTACACTTTTTAATTCTTTCGCAACAGCAATAGTGCGACAGTAACGTGAATTCACAGTGCCGACGAAGTTCGCAAAACACTTTTCTTACAATTCACAGACATTAATATTCAGAGATACTGTTTTCCAACATACAAAGCGCACTAATATGAGTACATCTAGCTTTTGGTGTTGGGATTTCATGCAGGTAATTGCATTTATTTATATATTCGTTTCAAAATTCGTTATTCTCTATAAGTCGTGGCGACAGCCCTAAGGAAGCTTATTCATTGGCCAATCGATACATACCCCCAGGCATGCATGCCCGAGCTCATAGAGGACAAATCGATACCTGCTCTTCCATCGACCAGGCAACATCCTCAGGCAATATTCCAATGGAAACAAAGCTACCTGCTCAACATATCCAGCAAGCTGATATTCGGTCTGCCAATAACGTAATTACGCAAAGGTCTTCTCTCTTGTTATCTTCTCTCACATTCTTATCATGCGTTCAATATATTGCAATTGACATCTGCTGATGATTTGAAGAGAGTGCGGCTCACAGGCGAGAGTGTCTCAGGCTGCCATATTCTATAGACGTGGAAGATGTGGAGACTCACTGTGCCAATAATTTTTCTGAACAGTCTCATTTCTGTCAGTTGCATCGTGGATTGCATTCTGTTCACGTGCATAGATCTCGCAACAGGCTTCCGGCGCTCATAACCATATGTTGCGATAGAAGCGTGGATAAACGATTTCGCATCACTGCGCAATTCTTTATTTACCGCCACAGAATAGTTCAGCTTCTGAATTTTTATATTCGCTTGGCTGATCGTTGTATTTATTTCCACGTCGTGCCTATCATTGCTCTCCAATATCACTTCGAAATACTTCACCTCTTCTACCCATTTAAATTTCATGTCTTTAAGGGCAAAAGACACAGGGTGACCCTTACTGAGCCTCAATTTTAATTAGAGTACTATCGTCACCACAAGTCATGGAAGTTGGAAGTGACAGCCATGGTAGTTATCATGAGCATAAGCAGTCAAGTCCATTCAGTCATCAGTAACTGGTAGTGTTATATGAACAAATTCAACTTCGTTGCTATTGATTTTTATGATAATCACTTTGAACCGTCTGCAGTGATCTTAGATGTCTGCAGTTTGTGACATCCGATCCACTGTCAGCATTACGACACTTCTCTAAAAGACACTGATGAGAAATATGCACCTTGCATGCCAGCCTTCTGGAAGATATCTGTGACACCAATTCCTATGCAAGACCGTCGATTATGATGGAAAATGGCTAAATCAACTTTTTAAGTAAGGAAAACAATTTTTCAACTTATTACACTGCCTGAATACTTTTAATCTGGAAAACAGAGGAAACCGTCGTTTTTGATCATTAATACAACTTAGATTTCTTGCCATACGGCAACACTGACTTGATCCAGACAAGTTAAAGGCGGGTTTTTGCTGAGAGGGATATTAACTTGTCTCGTAAAGACTGCGACGAACGGATCTCAAGCAAGCCTTTCTCTTCACCGTAGCCCTTGAGTTCCAAGATCGTACATACAATCTGGGCTATTAAAGTATTACATCACAGAAAAATTGCTAGTAGGCGAACTTCGATTTGCTGACTGGGTACCCGCATTGGCTGGCGCAGTCAGGAGTATCATACATCCATTGCATGCTAATCATGATGGCTCCGTCTATCCTAGTGTGTTAAAAGTCATATTAAGTTATGCTTGCTGGATAACAGGCATTATACAGTGAGAGCATTCATTTTACTTAGACTACTCGTACTAGTTGGATTGTTTCGACTAAGTAACGCGGTCTTTCGTCCACTGCACTCCAGGTGCTTAAATATCATGAAGCCTAGGCCTTCTTTACTGATTCCTCTAAGCAGCTCGAAGCAAACGGGTGTACCTATCATATATGATCTGGTGCAATGTCTTACTTCCGTTTTACACATTATTGGTGTAAAGTAAGATACTTCACAAGGACAAGCAAAAATTGAGGCAGAATAAGATTAGTTCATGATGTACTCATGACCATGTACTTTCAATCTACGATATAATAAAGCTGCGACTAATAACGATTCTTTGACATGTCTATTTTGGCAGCGCATGTGAATTTTTTCGAATTTAAAAAGTGTTGTCATTGCACCGAAGGAAAATGACCAGACAACGTAAATTACCTTCGAACTGAAATCTGGTGACGTTTCTGCAGTTTATCCCGTGAGATGCTCCTTGAAATTTTCGCTAGCCAATCGATACATCAGCAGTACCTGAAAGTTTACCTCGAATGCGGTGCCTCTTCAGCCTGATGCGCCTTGTTCTGATTCGGCTGCACGATTTTGTACTCCCGGATGCTTTCTTTGTTGAACCAGCGTTTTCTCTTCTGAGTAGCACCAGCACTTCTGAGTATGTTGCAAAATTTACAATCGAAACAGGAGTCGATAAATGCATAGACGTACTTTATGTACTGAACGGTGGTCGCTGCATATGGCGACCGCAATACTTTGTTTAACTGCAATGACAAACGTTATTTAATTTCTCACTCGTCCTAGCGCCATCAGCGCTACGTTGTTCGACTACTTTGTCTTTGAGAAGGGCATTTTCTCGCTGAAGCTCTGCTATTCGTCGTTCAGCGTTTCTGTCGTTCTCTTTCTGTTCGCTGAGGTGAGAAGGCGAAAGCTTTCTCAATTGACATATCACGTTACCGCTAAGCTGTGCATTATAATACGCAGTATTACCTTCCGTTTTCGTCAACGTTAGTCAGTTCTTCATTTTGAGAAACAGTGACGTCCGCATTGTCTCTGTCTTTTCCTGCTTCTTCTTCGCTGACCAGCTCACTTCCATCTTCGTCCGTGTCCATGCGGCGGATCAACAATCTCACGTGCGCGAATTAGCCAATACTGCGTTGTCAATTTTGGCTTCCATGGCAACAGCTGCTATGGAAACAATCAAGGTGGACCACACGGCCGGCACGACAGAACGGTCTCTTACTTCGACAAAATAAGAACACCGATAAGTTAAACTGTAAAATCGATCAGCCACAAAATTGTGGAGGGGAGGGGGGCAGTGACGCAATGGATGGGTAGTTTGATTCGTAGGCGCAGTGTTCGAATTCCAGGGTGGCGTGAAACTGTTGTATTCAGTAGATTATAGCTCGAGCAACCAAATACTAACGGTATTAGCAGTCACTGCTTGCGAATAACAGTATGGCGCCCGCAATCAGTCTCTGTGCGTGGCGACCCTCAGTTAGTCAGTTTCGATAACTGTTTATCCTTTGGGGTCAAGGAAACAGACACGTCAGACAGTGTTTGCAACTGACCTGATCCTCTGCCAGCGTTTGATCGTAGGCAGAAAGTAACCTAACTCTGGCGCAGAGACTTGCGACGTCCGCAGGTTATTCTTGGTGTCCCCGGGCAACCTGTAGCTGTTTTGCCTTCTTTTCTTGAACCATTCGCAACATGTGCCCAAACCATTGAAGCTGTGACTTTTCCGTCGGCAAAAGCAGCGGGTTGTACATCAAGGCTCAAATATCTGAACTTCGGACATATCGAGTTCGTGAGACCAGCGACTGGTCTCAGAGAAATCATTGAAACTGCTCGTATCCGGGATCAAAACTTTTCAGTCATGGCCCAGAATTCTTCCCGTTGATGAGCACTGGGATGAAAATCGACTTGAACACCGTTATCTTGGTCTTCAGACTCAGCTGCAATTAAATCACAACGGTTCGGGCTAGTTTAGGAAAGACGCCGCGGGCCATTCCAACTCATTGATCGATTTCTTCCTCCCATTAAGTCTAACTATTCTATCCATGTACAGGGGAGGGGACAAAATGCACAATTGGCATAGACCACAGCTAACAACGTAAGGTCTCGACTTAACGTCATTTGCTCTGACACAATACTACTGTCAACATATGGTGAATGGGTGGCCCGTAGCAAGTGGCCATCGATTCCATTTCTTTGCAGGTACGCCCACGGCTTGTTGCTCAAAATCTGGTCAGAGATTTTTTCCACGTCACCAAAGCATTTGTAAAACGGATGAGCGAATTCCCACAATTATTCAATGAGGCGGCATAAGTCAAAGATTTAGTAAGAGGTGTTTCAGCCTGACATGCGGCGACGCTGCTTTTATTGGGTTTTAGAGCCAGCCATTCCGCAGCACCTCCATTTTAACACCTTTCTGTAGACTTTTCTCGGGAGACTAAATAAGGTAATGCCACAATAACTGAATCATTCACTCTGGTCTGCCTTGTGAACAGGGGTACTACCACCCCAATTCTCCAGTCCATTAGTGTCTCTTACCTGTACTTTTGCAATTTTACAAGTACAGGTTAGCCACAACACACCTCATTCTTCTAAGCAATAAACGTTTCAGATTGAACTTCATCGATTTTAATCGCCTTGCAACTTTACAGCTTTCGCGTCATACCGAAAGATTAATATCCTAGTTCTGGTGCCATTTAGACGAGTCTCTCTGCAGTTGTTCAGGGCTAGGAGGTTCCTCAGGACGCTCTCTCCATCGCCGAAGTATGCCTTCAGACATTCTAAGAGTTCTTCCCATTTCGGAGGCCACTGACGGTCCGTATAAAATCGTCGGACGAGAATGTCAACTTTAAAACTGATTGCCATGACTAAAGTTTCACATTCTGCTCACAAGGAGCTTTCGAGCGAAATATAGCATGAGAGAATAAATTAAGTAATTGATACAGATGATCACCTGCAGTTATATAAACTCTGACTTCCGGTCAGTTGACTGCGCGCTGATATAGCGACCACGTACAGTCGCCAGATGGAGTCATAAAATTAAACAGAAACGACCTTCCCAGTTTAAAACCAGCATCGCATTTAAGTCACAGACAACCACCCATTGATATATAATATGAGGAGTTGAATCAAACAGGTGACGCAACTGACCACTGTCCAGTTACACAGATTCAATGCGACGACCGCAGAACCAAGCGGTATGCGCTCAATTGGCTGCGTCAAAGCGTCATAGACCATAGATTCAATGCTAAAATTGTTGTTAGCTTAAGTAACACGTAGCGTAAGGCAGAACAGTATCATTGCAATTCAGTACACTTGGTCAAGAAAAATAACGCTGGTTA